AAAAAAAAAAAAAAATAAAGTCATGATTACTATTGTACAAATAAACTAATATTAAATATTAATATTAACATGTACGAAGATGAAAACATTAAAATATATAAATACAAATTAAATATCTAATAAAAAATAAAATAACTTCTATATGCATGTATTTAATTTTAAATTAAGTCTACATATTTGTTTACTTTTTATTAACAAAATAAATCTCAACATTTTGTTTTTTCACAAAATAAGTGTGATGGTGATCATAGAATGACGTGAAAGATTGATCATTTTCATAAACTCATAAATAGACTCATTAGTCAATATTAAAATATTTATTTTTTCATGAAAGACATGAAAATTGTAATTCAGTGTAATATTAAAATACTTATTTGTGCATAAAACCAATGAAAATTATAATTCAATATATTATAGTAAAACACTTTGAAAAATTTTGTAATGTAATAAAAAAGAAAAAAACATTGAAATTATATTATATAAAATCTAAAAGAAATAAAATAAAATTAACATCATGATACATGATAAAAAAAAAGTAGTTGATGCATTATAATAAGTTTGTGGTTAACTTTATCTACTGCAACGTTCAATTGTAATAATATGATTTCATCATTCTCTTATGAAAAAAAATATATATATTTGATATGGACAAAAATTAAATGATAATTTCCCATTATGCTATTTTTATTTATAAATTTTTTGCTGTAAAATTTTGTATTTATTAAAATACTTATTATTATTATTATTATTGTTCATGAAACTAATGAGAACTGTAATATATTAAAGTATTTATTTTTCCAAGAAATTGGTGAAAATGAAAATTCAATGTAATTTTTAGAAATAAAAATTGACAAACTTTTTTGTAAGTTAATATGAAAAATAAATTTAAATTATATTATATAAAATATATTATATAAAATATACTAAAAACAAATAATTGTGAAATTAACATTTTGATATATGATAAGGAAAAAGTAGTGGATTCATTATAATAAGTTGTGTTTAACTTTATCACTACAACATTCAGTTGCGATAATATACTCTCATCATTCCCTCATTAAAAAAAATAATTTGTTTATAAACAAAAGTTAAACAATAATTGACACATTATGCTACTTTTACTATGAAATTTTTAGCTATATAATTGCGTATTTACTATGAAAATTAAGCGTTGTCACTTTTGACCAACTTTTATATAACCTCAAATTTAAGATCAAATGAAATAAATAAAACAAATGGTTATCATATATATTCAATCAATATGATCATTTTGTCTTCTGAGTCAAAACTATATAAATACTTATTTTAACTCTCTTATTGTTGTTGAGACCCCTCACTCTTTATGTTACCATTTTCTATTTATTTTTTTTTACTCAAGTAAAGGTTATTCAACATTTTTTAGATCTATTTCATATGGATATGATTATTTTCTTGAAAAATACATCTCTTTTAGTCGAATAAATTATGTTACATATGATAAATATAACATCATTATTTTTTATTTCACTCTACTTGTATTTTAGTTCTTATTTAAAAAAATATATTATAAAATAAAATAAATAAAGTATAAAATTTGGAGGTCTAAGTTCACATTTTTGTTAAAAAAGAATGACACGTTGAGTTGACTAACTCTTACTTCAACTCACATCAGAGTTTGTGAATGATTAGATATTTTACAAGTTAAACTAAAAGATATTGTTTTGGAATGAGGTACTCAATACAAATAAACTAATGATCACTTGTAATTTTTTAGAGTTATATAAAGATATAATATAATACAATATTAGATTAATAAGAGATGATTACATATTTTCTTAATGTGTATGTAAATTCCATCAATATAGAGTATATGTTTCTGTTGGTATGACTCATATATTGACAAAGGAATTAGGCAGACTGATGCCTGTGAGAGTGGAGCGAGCGTAGCGAGGGAAGCGGAACGACCGAGGGAAGCGGAGCCCCCGCGGTATGGATGGGGGTGCGGGGGCAAAGCTCCGCGGTACGGTACAGGGTATTTAAGTAAATTTATACCTTGTAGGGTTTAAGTATAAATACATGGTGTATTGATGTATTTGAGACTATTGAGAATAATAAAGATCCTGACGTAGGCATATTGCCGAACCACATAAATCTTGTGTTGTTTACTTTCTCGTTTTTAATTTGTATGTCATATTGTCATCTTCTCTCTACAGTTTCAAATGTGGTAGGGTGCTACTATTAAATATTTTTATGAAAACATATGAACATGTTTATGTTAAAATAAACAATGACGAATTTAAATTGACACATCAAATCTAAATTTTATCTATATATATGCATATAGATGCCAAATTAAAAGCTTTAAAAACATTTGTTTCTTATGTTACGTATAGATATCATATTAGTTAATTTTTTTTCTATTTTACCTTGAAATATACCCAATATAACCGGAAACATAGTATTGTGTTTGATGTTCCAATAAAAATAATAATTAAATAAAATAGTTGACTTGAAATTTTATTTTAGTGATTAATTAAATAAGATTGATAATTTATTATTACAAAAAATATATTATAAAAGGAAAGGAACTCATACTCACAAACTGGAAGGGAGACAAATAATAAGTGAGATATTGGGATGACAATTCATAATAAATAATTATGTATAATATTAAACATTATTTGTAACAAATAATTTATTATGAAATACTATAATTGGAGTTAAAGCATTTATTTAGTAAAGAAAAATTGGAGTGTAAATTCCAATACAATTATGATTCAGTATAAATTAATTGTTTAAATGACATAAATATTTTTTTGTTGATAAATCATGCATAGAAATTGATAAAATTTATTACAATGTATTAAATGTAATTTGAGGGGAAATTTTGAGCTGCTTTGCTTTAATATATATATATATATATATATATATTTAGATTAGCAATAATAGTAATTTTATTAATATTTTATACCTATTAAATTTAAAAAGTTAAAAAAGTATACATAAAAATAGACTTAAAATTTTATTATAGTGTTTTTCAAGTAATTTAATTGACATTTTTATATTAATTAAACTTATAGATAATATTATGTTTGTTGCAATAAAAATTAATAATAATGTCAATAATAATAAAATCTACTCCACCCTAAATTTAGGTTGTTTTCTTGAAAAGAATTGAATTTTCCCTCACGTCCGAGCTAGCATTGATCAATAGTGCCAAACAGAGTTTTATTTCATACAATTCGTTTCGTTTAGAGTCTACACACCTAAACTAAACAAAAACACTCACCTGATTACTTTCGAGCCAACAAAAAAAAAAAAGAGGAATGCTATCATCCGTTACGGAATGGTTTCGTTGTCTTTTATAGCCGTAGATATACATGTAATCTACTAATATGTATATGATCTACGGTTAAAAATAACATCGGAATCATCCCTTAATGGGATGGTAGCATTAGTTGGTATTTCCTGAAGTCCCTATATCTAACAGGCGTTATCTTCTCCCTGCTCAAAAAATCCACTGTAAGTCTTGCTCTCCACCACCATATGCAGGTTCAAGTCTTCAAGTACTTCATAAAGCTGACCCACATCCGAGTCGAGAGCTTTTCCTGCCAAAAACGTACAAACCTTCTTCTTCACCTCGATCCAGCTCTGCCCGGGCACTTTCTTCAGACCCCTCGTTCGAGCCCTCGTCCTCACCTTGGCTGACTCGTCCCACATACCGCTCGACGCATATAAATTCGAAAGCAACATATATCCACCAGTCCCCTCACGGCCGTGGCCAAAAAACCGAGAAGCAGTCTTTTTTGCAAAATCCATGTTTCTATGCAATTTGCAAGAATTCAACAAAGCTCCCCAAACGGGTGCGTTTGGTTCCATCGGCATGCTTCTCAAGATTTCACCTGCTTCCTGGAGAAGCCCAGCCCGCCCGAGAAGGTCGACCATGCAAGAATAGTGCTCCACTTTGGGCTCGATTTGAAATTCTCTTACCATCAAATTGAAAAGCCTTTTACCTTCGGAAACAAGGCCCGAGTGGCTGCATGCAGAAAGAACAGCAACAAAAGTAACTTCGTCCGGGTTAAAATTTGAATTCACCATCTGGTCAAAAAAATTCACAGCAGTTTCCCCAAGTCCGTGCATCCCAAAACCCGCGATCATTATATTCCACGAGGTCACATCTTTAGAAAGCATTTGTTCGAATATCGAATTTCCTGTTTTCAACCTACCGCATTTCATGTACATGTTAATTAAGCCGTTAGCCACCAAAATATCGTGATCAATGAATTTTCTCACTGCATGGGCATGGATTTCTTGTCCAAGAGACGAAGCTGACAGCTCAGCACAAGCTGATAACACACCCCCGACTGTTACAGCATTTGCTGGCACACTAGAAAATTGCATCTGCCGAAAAATTTCTAAAGTCATCTCCTTGTTCTGTCCTGCGCCGGCAAATGCATTAATTACTGCAGTCCAAGTAATCACATTTGGCCTCACTAATGAACTGCCGTCCAAATTTTTTAACCTGAAAAATGCATTGTACGCCTCATCACAAAAACCCGACTGAGCATAAGCTGATATCAATGCATTCCAGCTTATTATGCTCTTAAATTCAAGTCCGGCGAATACATTTTCCGCCTTTTCAACAGCACCCATTTTCCCGTACATGCTTATAAGAGCATTCCTCACGAATACATAATTTTCGAAACCTGCCCTTACCAGGTGTCCATGTACAATCTCGCCTTTGATGGGCATTTCATCACAGGCTGATATAACAACAGCGACTGACTCGGCTGTTATGTCGACACCTTTCTCTCTCATCCGAACATAAAACTCCCATGTCTTGTCTATATGACCACACCTCGAGAAACTAGAAACTAGCGAGGTCCAAGTTACAGAATTCGGGACCCACCCCTCGTTCTCCATCCTACTAAACACTCGAAATGCGCTTTCACAATCGTTGCTTTTTGCGAAAGCAGATATCATAATATTCCAAGTGACAATACTTCTCAGAGGCATTTGATCGAACATCTTTGAAGCAATCTGGTTCCAGCCAATCTCCCCATACATCCCCACCAACTCGTTACCAACATGCAAATTTCTCACAAGTCCCATTTGTGTAACGTGGCTATGAACAACTTCGCACAACCTAACATCGCCCTTCATGGCACACGCCTTTATAATCAGGGGAAAACCGAACCTATCAGGATGAACGTTAAATCTGCGCATTTGCTGATACAATTCGAGAGCGTTTTCGTACCTGAAGGCCGAAATATAAGCTCGCAACATAGAGTTCCAAAGAAGGGAGCTAAAAAGGCATTCTTGAGAGCATGTATCGAACACCTTTCGGGCATCGCTCAAGAGGGATAGTTTAGCGTATACTGCTACGAGCCTGGCCGACAAAAACGGCGAAAAATTTGAGGACGTGAGCGCGATTTGTGAGTGGATCTGTTTGACCGGCCGTTCGACGTTGTAACTCCGGTCAACTCCGCCGACGCAGAGTTGGAGAAGACGGTCGAAGAAATCAACGAGCTCGCCATTGTTGGACTGTTCGTGAATCGTTCGAAAGTGATGAGGTATTGGGAAATCAGATTGGGAATGGGCGTTGAAGCCCGAGCAATGGCCGGTGAAATTAGACGGCGCGTGATAGAAACGCTTGTATGGAAAAGAACGAAGGATCATCAAGCATCGACGGTCTGAATGCTTGCAAGCTTTGGCGAGAACGCGCCTTTTTTATTTACTAATTTCAATTTCAAGCCATAAACGAGTGAAGTCGAGCTCAAATTCCGATACTCAAGCCGAGCTTTGAGTTCTTATTAAGCCAATTTAGGTGACGTGGACTCATCTCGGCTTTAGTTCCTAATACTCTGATACTCCAGTTCCGCTCGAGCTCTTATTGAGCCGAGCTAGTTAACTAGTCGATAAACAAACGACTCGTCTTGACGCGAGTTCCTGATAGTCAAGTTCAGGCTCGAGTTCTCATTAAGCCGATCTAGTTAA